TCCTGTTAAGGGGGACATTCATTATTATCGATGATTTTTCTCGATACATCGATATTGACAAATTGAAACATATCAGCTGACAAACTACGATAAATAAATATTGTTCAGAATCAACAAACAATAATTTAAAAAAATATTGAAATGAAACTTTTCTAAGCCTAACAAAACTAACCAAACTTGCTGTAACATTTAAAAACTCCGCTTAATATTCTCCAATCACCTTTTCTGCTATAAAATGGATTTTTAAGTGGTACAGAAAGTTTGGTTGGTTATGTTATACTAGGTGAAACCCGTCGAAATCGACGGTCACTGTCAAGGCTTAAGCTAATTATTATTCATCTACGGAAAGTTAGGATCTAGTGGATCTAGTGGAATATATTTGAAGTGAAGGTTGCTTTTACTCTTAAACTGTTAGGGACCTCCTCGTTTATATGGTTGTGCGGCTTCATTGGCAACAAATAATTCAAATTACATAACAATGCCCCATTTCCAAAAAGCAATAAATACTGTAAATTGGCTGTTACGTCAATATTGACGTTTACATGCATTGTTAAACAAAGTATCTTATAAAGGATGATGTGATCAAGTTTAACAGGAATATGACCTTTCTGTCATGACAGTAGCTGCTTAAATAGTATTTACTCTTGGTGTCTTTTTTACAGCCAAAATGCCGTGTTATTTTAAATCATATTAACAACCCAGTGAGCCACGGTCTGTAATATAGATCACTTCAAATAATCTGTCAAGATAGGTACCATTTAAGGCCAGGTTTCTGTGTTTGGATGTTATTACACACGATAAGAGCACAATAAACTTCTTCTGCAGATAATAATCTGCTGGAGAAATATACCTAAGCCGAATTATAAATGTCACAGTGTGAGTTTGAGCATTTTGTAACTATATGGGTAAGTTACATAGTATTTTCGAGGCTGCTCCAGTGCACTTTAAGAATATATTTTTAGAGATAAATTAAATGGTTTTTGTTGCTGAGTAGCGTTAGTAAACATGCACAACGCATTTCGTAATTCTAATAACATTCAAAGGCTCTCTAAGAGTTCAAATTCTTATTTGTATACTTATCCATGTTATGTTTTCACTAAGTTGAATTAACAACATCGAAGTAACCTCTCTGAAAAGTCTGTAGTAAATTGCAGTTTTACAGCTTAATGACTTTCTAAATCATGCACATATTTCTACATAAATATTGTAAATTGTTTTATCCAGTTGCTGTAAACTACTATTAATTTAGCAAAATATGGACACTGGGGGCAACGTGCCCTTCTGCACTTGTATAATTTTTCCAATGGTTGAAAACATGTATAACAATAATCTCGTGAACCTATATGTATAATAATATGATAAAATATAAGCAAAAGTGGGGGAAAAGGCAGACAACAACCCGTACAGCAGATATAAGATAGTTCAATAAGAAATTATTGTAAGAGTTCGGTGATAAAAGGAATTTCCACTGATTTCGTAATGGAATGTTATATTGCAAAACATGACATGATACAGAAGAAAATAAATTTTAAAATCAGAAAATAGCATTGCAAATACTTCTTTTGGACAATTTAGTAACTCCCAATAAATGTGTGTTGTTTAAAACACAATTGAAAAATCAACAGCTGTTTCATTAACAGGATTATTATCAGCGAGCACATAATAATAATAATAATAGAGAGGACACGGCGTTTAACCAAATGCACTGAAAGTGTGGCCAAATCCGCCATCTTGGTCCGTCATTCAGCCTGAATCCAAGACCCACGAGCACAGTTCGCATTAAAAACCCCGCGACAAATACACGATCATAAACAACATTAATAGTTGACCAAAAATTCTGAAATTTTGCACACTTGTAGATATGATACTGAGGAAAACGATGGTGTTAATATAAAGTTATTAGTTATGATAGTAATTGATTTATTAATATTTGTATTACTTATGTAGTTTAATTTTTCACATTCAGACATGAAAAAGTTGTATTGCGAGGAATTTTTTTATTTTTTGGTCAGAGTAATTTCGTCAGCGGGAAAGTTGTGGATAAATAACCAAATTTAACTATCCGATTCACCAAACATTTTTATCCTGCGTGGTTTTCTAAAAATATCAGGTACAAAAGGGGTCCATTGCCGCTGCTCCGCGCCACGCGCGCTGCCCCGCCGGGCCGTCGTCAATACATTTAGCGTGCAGTGTTTTAATGTTTTATTTATACTGTTGTACTGTAATATTGTATATATTAAGGACATTTTCAAGTACACAAAGAATGACAATAACTTAAGATTTATAAATCTCTTATTTGATTCTAGACTCAAAAGAATTATTATTATTTTCTTCATAAATTATTCAATTATTTTTTTATAAATAATTTACTTCGTAACGTGTAACACTACTTAAATTAAGACCAGTTTTAATTTCTATTATAGTTTACTCTTTTTTTTAACCGTCCAGAGTACATGCTGGTTATTGTTATTTTAATTTATCATTAAAATAGAGTAATTATGTTTGTGTTTATTGGTAATCCGGAGGCTAACATCAACCTAAACGATTCTTAAACCATTACTTTGGAAATAGCCAAGTAAACTCTGATTAAACGAATTTGTGCTTGTCTAATCAGTTAGAAATAATTCATTATAGGAACTTGAGGGTAAAGGTTTTCATTAGATAAATTTTATGTTGGCAATAATACAGTAAAAACAATCGATTTACTACAAGATATTTCCAACAATATAATAATATGACAATGTACTTCCAGAAAAACCCAAGTAATTTTTATACAAAAGTATTTTTAGCAGGCATAGCAGACAACCAGCGCGTTGCAGACGTCGGGACTAGGCTAGCGCCGCCATCTTTGTCCGTTTCGTCGGCTAGTCAGACTGCCACGCTCCTGCGCTCCGAGTAGCGCTTCTATTTTGTTATGTGTTCGCTGATTATTATGCCCAAAATGTAAACAAATTTGTCAAGGTATCTTTAAAAGCTTCTGGGGCAGAGCCCTAAGGGAATTTACTTCGTGTTTCTTTTGACAACTCATCTACAGACCAAGGCCTTTCTTTGGATACCTTTACCAAGTTTCTACGTCCAGCCGTTCTCTCAAATTAGTGGAGACAAAGTTTCCAATTAAATATTTATATTTCCCCATGTTAATCTTATGGGAGAAAATCCAACTTTGATGGAAGATCCTGCCCAAACTAATAAAGATTTCAAAAAACCAAAAACACTTTGAAAAACTACAGATCAGGGCAATTTTTTTGACACTTTAATCATCAAAATCGGTCCAAAAATGTGGGAGGAGTTCTGTTTACAAAAATCGGCTTAGCGTGTAATATATATAGATAGATTAGCTTAGAACAGTTTCATTTCATAATCCATATAATCTTATCTTACTAATATTACAAATCTGAAAGTTTGTGTGTGTGTTGCTCAATCACGCATAAACTACTGGACGGATTTGGCTGAAATTTGGCATGGCATACTTTTATCTCAAAAATCCTTTTGGGCTCCACCCCAGTGGCTATGTAGTTCCCCATGTTAATCTTAAGAGTATTCACATTTAAAGGGAATTAAAGAATTTAGTCAGCTGTTTCAACTTTACAAGATGGTTCTATAATATGCAATAGCATTAAAAAGTTATATGGTTTCCCAACAGGGTGCAGCACTATTATTATTTTGTTTTTGCATATACGACAACAGCTAATTTCAACCAAGCAGCAACAAAAAGCTGTGATACACAATGAGAACTGTCAAAGTAAGATTGTTTACAGTTAGGTTTGAGTTTTTAATTTAATGAATAATTTGTGATATTGTGTGAATGTTTGATAATTTTTTTTTCTAATGTTTAGGTGCAGTGGTAGAACATTATGGCAATGGTAGATGTGTTATTCTATATCAAACCGTATATTTATGAACCAAATTTTATCAAACTGTGGCCTCCCCCCATTGCAAACGCAAAGTATAACTGCAATAAGCATTTTATACTTATATACCAACCCCGTACGAAGGACGGGTGCTCTGCTAGTAGACTATATTTTAGCCTAAAGATCAGCTGTCAATTTGTAATGTATCGTAAAGGAAAACAAAAATATCGATATATCAAGAAAAAATCATCGATAATAATGAATGTTCCCTCAGGAAAGTACTGTTTTTTTATGTACTAAGCCTGATAATTAGACCAATTGAGGCGTCGAGAGGCCAAGGGAGATATGTGACTTTTTAAAAAATGTCATTGTATTTTTTTCATGGTCATAAAAAATAAAATAAAAATAAAAATAAATTCATATATACCCCTTGGCTTCCAACTCTTAGGTGTTTAGTTTGGAGGCCAAGGGATATAAGTGAATTATTTGTTGAAATTCCACCCTTTTTTAACAAAACCCGTTACCATGACAACATTTTTTTAAAAGTCACATATCTCCCTTGGCCTCTCGACGCCTCAATTCGTATACATCAAAGGCAAAAATGTTGTTCGGATTCCACTATAAACTGTAGGTCCCTTAGTTGCCATTAGTTGTTTGGGCTATTAATTAACAGCTGTGTCTATGGAATATGTCGGCCTTAGTTACTAACAAGACTACAAGATCGCGCCACTCATCCTACATACCATAGACAAAAAATTCTTTTTGTCTATGTACATACTCATCTCCATTCATACTTGGCTTAAAATACCTACTTTGTATGGTTGCCATTTCACTAAAAAGTATTAAAGTATTAAAGTAAAGCCATCAACCATTCAATAAAAAAAACACACCTCACTACCACCTCTGTAGCAGCAAACCTAAGTAATAATTTAAATTAATGTTATTTCAATAGGGGACAATTTTAAGGGAATGTTTTAGTGGAAATCTATTTATGTAAATGTAAATTCGCTGAGTCTACAGGTATGTTGCGGCGGGGCCATTTAATTATCCTATGCTTTATTGTGTTTTTCCTCCTTAAAGCTGTTGAGGTCCGCTGCATGTACCCTTGAACAGGTTTAGCTTGACTTAGCATACTTGATACTGTTTCAGAGTGTTCTGCAGCAGGCATCAAACTTCTCTGGAGACATTGATCTGCTCTCCTCTCTTCATGGCCAGTCTTCAGGAGCGGCTCACAAGAAGCAAGGAGTTTCAGCTGAGAGTTCTCAGTCTGGCCAGACGGCAACAGACATCCAGATACAAAGATTCGACAAGGACTTCAGGTGTGTTTAACTGCATGCATATTGGTTCATTGTAAAATACACAATTGAAGTTGGATCAACTCCTAAATAAATATACAGGGCTCTCACATGAATACGGAATGTTTACAGAGCACAAAAGTGAAAAGGAAATATAGATATTTTTGTGGTTTTGCTGTGATAACATGTTCAATACTTTTGTTGTGGGCCTATAGTAATTCTTTTAATCCCCTGGGCAAAGAAAAATCAGTTGGAGTTGAGGACGTTTGGACTATGTGTTTCCCTTTGTAATCTGATTTTCAAGAACAAAAAAGTTCTGATTTAAAAATATTATATTACTTTTTCATCAACTTTATTTGCTCTTATTATCATCTACATTGTAGCATATACAGGGTGTTTCCAAACTGTCTGGACATATTTTCTGGACTTGTTCCTTGGGCTAAGACAAACATAAAATGCCTATATATAGTAAAATGTATATGTTAGTAAGTAAAAAGAGCTTACAAAGTTCCGTTCCAATATCTCAAGCCGTTTAAATATGGCGGACATTTAAAATCTTTAATGCCAAATTTCATGAAATATAAATATTAAGAAAATTTTTCCAATCAAAAATATAGAGGATTTAAGTCCGAATCAAATGAGACTTTGTTTGTTAAAATCGGATGACAAACAACCGAGTTATCAGTTTTTTTGTACATTCGGTTACGCAAATTAATAGGACTACCATAGACTGCTCTGTAAAATAACAAATAAACAATATGGAAGTCCTATTAAATTGCGTAACCGAATGTACAAAAAAACTGATAACTCGGTTGTTTGTCATCCGATTTTAACAAACAATGCCTCATTTGGTTTTAACTTACATTTTCTATATTTTTGATCTGAAGAACAATTTTATTAATACTATTTACGGTTTTCATGAAATTTGGCATTAAAGATTTCAAATGGGCACCATATTAAAACGGCTTGAGATAATGGAACCTAACTTTGTAAGCTTTTTTTACCAACTAAAATACACATTTATACCAAGTTTGAAATTTATATCTCGAAAAATGCTCAAGAAATAAAATAATTCCTAAAAATCACAAACAGACCGACAAACAGAAATCTAGGCATTTTGGACCCATACTTATATGGCATTTTATGTTTGTCTAGCCCAAGGAACAAGTCGACAAAATATATCCAGACAATTTTGAAACACCCTGTATATTTAACTGCAACATATACACCTCTATCAATATGTAGATTGATTTATAACTGTAATAGCTGTTGAAATATATAATATCAAAATTGGATGTTAATCTTTTGGAGCTAATTTCTCAAAGTAAACAATGTACACAACTTTCACTATTTGTGAGTTAAATTCTTAAATAAAAGTGCCATACGACTAATCGTATGGATATTTGATCTCATCAACCAAATGCCTTTCCGACCCTTCATTTCGCTAGCTTTGTCTCGGTCAATAAACTAAAGCTTGTGCTGAAAAGAGACACTTAGCCCCATTTGACGGAAACATACTATTCATTTCACTGCATCAAGATCTCAAGCAGTAATTGGTTCCACATTTTCAGATCAAAAAAACAATTAACTTAGCATACTTTTAAAGAGCTCTTCTTTCTTTGCCTTAGGTCCAAACAGATAATCAAAGAGGCAATAATGGACAATGACTTCTTGAAAAACCTGGACCTGAGTCAAGTACGGGAGCTGGTGGAGTCTATGTATCCCCGAGAGTGTCCCAAGGGAAGTTATCTCATCCGAGAGGGAGAAGTTGGTGAGATATATATCTTCAATACAATTAAAGGGCCATAACCCCATACATACACTATACAAGAAGAGATTTCCTCTATTGACTTTGTAAAGTAGCCTAAAATATATTTATATCAGTATTGCTGAACCTTAAATTTAACAATGGTATAGTATGGTAATACAATCAAAACTCAAAATGGTTGTGCTGTTTTCAAGATATCTGTAGGTCTAAGATGTAGATTACTCATTAAGGCGGGGTACACACATATGCATCTCGCACGTGCAACTAACATTTTGATTCCAGTAGCACTGTGCGGGATGCATGCACGCTGCATGGGCAGGGCATGTGCTAGTAGCAAGGTGAGAGGCTTTGTGGTGCTCAGTTCATTGGAAAATGTGGACGTCGTCGTCGGATGATGAAATGCGGTAGGATGAAGAAAATAATATTGGTTACCCCCTTATTTACGCCAAAAAGTTATCATCAAACAAGTCTTCGAACAGTTAGAGAAGTTCCAGAAATGATGTACTGCATGAATACAGAGAAATTTATAAAATACACGACATTCTAAAAGCACTGTGACATAAAGAATAGTAGATGGCGTGATTCTGTCTGTATTAGGAGCGACTCTCTATTTTATCACGGTATGGAGTAATGGATACATTAGAGTTTTTGCAATAACCATGTGAATTGGACGTGTGTTCTGCTAATGCGAAAACTGAGCATGCAGCGCCAAAACACCGACTGATCGGTTCCTAGTGGCGCTGCTCGCTGCATGCAAACTGCTAGATACCACACTGTGCACTGTGCCAGTCGCATATGGGTCTGGGTGTAAGCTCCATGTGATTAACACAGGTTGGTCTTCAAGCTGCATGCTAGTAGCAAGAAAACTGCTAGTCGCACTGTGTGAGAGGCATATGTGTGTAACCCGCCTAAAACGTTAAGTTGACTCCTACATTTTGGAGCAACAGAAATCTTGAAAATACTATAACACTTTTGAGTTTTCAAATTTAATCTAACAGTAATTTATCTTTACATTTTTTAGTTATATAAAATCAAATAAAATAAACAATTAAATTTTAAATAAAGGTGTGGAGTACAAATAGATGATTATTAAAATTGAATTATTGGTAGGCCTAGTCAATAGACAATTATTAAGCTTATAAAAAAAAAATACTCTGTGTTATTTCACCTGATAATTTCTTTGAAAAATCAATAATAATTAATTGTTGTTTTTGTTTTGAGAATTTTGTTGTTTAATTTTTTTATTTCCAACTAATTTAATAAACAAACCCAAATAGATATAAGCTTAATATTTCAGGACGTAAGTGTAGGGAAAAACATCTTGTAACAAACATTTTTTAACATAGGCTACTAGTACTGAACTCAAAAAGGTGTGTTTCATATTAAGTTCTTTATGTATTCTTATAAATCAAAAACAATAATTTTGAGTCAATTTAGTCTAATGTCACCTACGTTGTTGTGCTTACAACAGAAAAGAGTATCTAATTTAAAATTTCACTAAATAACCCCTGCTCTTAAAGAGTTTTGAACAACATGTATGCAACATAGTAGTTAAGTAACTTTTTGATGATGGGCGTTTTGTTTCAGGGGCACATCTGTATGTGTCGGCTGAAGGGGAGTTTGAGGTAGTGAAGGAAGGGAAGGTGTTGGGCCGCATGGGCCCTGGCAAAGCATTTGGAGAACTGGCTATCCTGTACAACTGTACCAGAACTGCTTCCATCAGAGGTGAGTTGGAGTTTGCCATTTAGTTAAGAGCTAGTTTATGACCCTATTCGTCTTGTAAATAATTTACTAAAGATTGGACTATACATGTTTCTAAACATCGAACAACTTATTTGGTTTTTTGGAAACAACACTGCCTCTATTTATCTGTATTGGAATCTGTCCTGAATTAAGTTGTTCTTTCACATATAAAAATACAATTCAATGTATTTATTTGATTTGACTATGAATAGAACAGGACATTTCATTTCCGTTTTAAAGTCGGAGCCAGGTTTAGAATTGAGCCACCGAGAGAGCACTCATATTTTACAAGAATAATTTCTGTTGAACATGCATTTAACATTTGTTAATGATAGATAGTATGAGTGATTAGTTTTTACTAAATAAAAGAGATGAAAAACAATTGATGGTTTATTAACATGGTTGAGAACAAAACTGATAAAAAGTAAACAAGTAAGTAAATAGATCATAACAATTAATAACATATGATTTTATCCTCAAATGGCAGGCAGTTAAGAGTATGCATAGAGTACTTCTAACAACATTTGATCCCATACATCTAGATGTCTCACACTTCACACTAAGACTAGCTGCGCCCCCAACTAGTCCTAGGTATGTCCTATGATTGTATGTAGAACTACACATTGCTAACAGCTGTTGTATTCACAGTGGTGAGAGACTCCAAGGTGTGGGTGTTGGACAGAAGAGTGTTTCAGAGAATCATGATGAGGACTGGGCTGCAAAGACTGGAAGATAACGTCAACTTTCTACGAAGTGTACCTCTCCTCCACAACCTACCTACTGACGTGTTGGGGAAAATATCAGATGTTCTTGAAGTGGTAAATACCAATTTGATGATAAGTAGCTGAATCCTGATGATATGGAATTGTCAAGAGCCAGACCAAAAGTATGAAAATCGGTCGAAAAATAACAATTCTTTTTATGACATAGGTATCAAATGGTGTATTATGGAACCTCTGAAAACTGGGCACTATTTTCATTTTTGAAATATTTCCGAAACTCTGAAAATTATAATCTATAAGGGTAATACATATATTCAACCCTTCAAGAAAATATGATAACTCCAAACCTTCCTCTAGCTTCTAGCTCAAACGGGCTGTCAAATCTGGTATCCACCTGGAGGGGGATCCAAAGTATTCCCCTTCCTCTATTAAATGTTGACAACCCTGATGTTGGAGAGAATTCTGATAAACACATGCATGAACTTATTTCCTCTGTTGTTACAGGAGTTCTATCCCACTGGACATCACATAGTGAGGCAAGGAGCCAGTGGAGATACATTCTTCATCATCAGCCAAGGCAGTGTCAAGGTTACTCAGAGAGTTGTTGGTAAATACAGTAGTTTCATATGAAGCATAATGTTCTGGTCCTTAATGCTTTTGACTTTGCCCAAATTTTAGTATTACAGCAAATGAGCCATATATTGATAAAGCTAGTCCTCTAGACAACTAGTAATTATTTAAGAATATTTCCATTTCAAAAACAACTAACTCACAATGTACCTTGGACTCTCTGCTTTTAAACAATGAGGTACCAGTACATGTGTTCAACCTTTTCATCCTCACGAAAAACTCAAAAGGCATATCTTCCAGGTACAACCCTTGCAAAGGATTTCCCTCCTTAAATGGTAGCTTTCTGTTGGTACAGTGGTAAATTTTGCGTTATTTATGAAAGAAATGCTGATTATTGTACTTCCAACAAACAAATGGGCTGAATTCATACTAGATAATTAATTGATGATATCAAGTTGAATTTTTCTCAAATACTAAAAAAATATTCATTCTTATAGTGTATATGGTACCAAAGATTATACATGGAATTAGTAATCTTAATTTTTTAGATACTAGTCTCAACTTTCCAACCCACTGGTCATGGTGAAGACTGATAGGTGAAAATACAGGATACATTCTCAAATTTCTTTGTTGTCAGACATATTTTAGGCTTTTAGTTGGTCTTTCATAAAAACTCATACCCACATAGCTAGTTTGTTACTTTCAGTAACATAGGTAGCATTGCATCAGATTTTCTCCCACAAATCTTTGAGTAGAGTAAGTGTTCCATTTTAAAGGGTTATCACAAAAAACATAGGCTAATATAAACTGGATAAAGTATTTAACAACCACTATTGTAACTGGAAACAAATAAAACTATAAGATAAAGCAACACTTGTCCTTGTAGCCACGTGTATCTGTTCCTCATAACTAAAGACTTGATGGGTAGCAAAGAGATATACAGGAGATATGAGAAAGTTGACAAAATGTGTAGTATGGATGTGCTAAAACAATTAATAGTACAGTCAATTACAATTTCAGGTCCTGAAAACCCCTCATACTTTCCAATTAAAATCAGGGGCAAAAGAGGTTCTCTCAGTGCAACTGCTAGGGTTCAATAATGTCATACCACATGGAAATAGCACTCTTTACCATAATTAATCCTCGATCAGCCACTGGGGGAGTAAGACAAAGCCACATAATAGACACTCTCAATTTATTAAAATTTCTTGAGAACATTAAACAGTTTGCACTTAATTTTGTGTTAGGGACTTCTGAAGAACAAGACCTCCGCATTCTACACCGAGGTGACTACTTTGGGGAGCAAGCTCTGTTGAAGGAGGACTGTAGAACTGCTACAGTGATTGCCTTGGCTCCTGGAGTGGAGTGTTTGACCCTGGACAGAGAGTAAGTAAAAACTATATTGATGAATGTAGTTGCTGTGGTGTTCTAGTTAGCACACTTTGGTGCCTGTAATATTTCCATGAAGGTTATGTCCTTTTGGGTTTAGATCGTTCATCCAACTGATTGGAGATCTAAGTGAGCTACATGAGAAGGAATATAGTGATCTCTGCAGAACTGAACGGCCTCCTAGCAGCAACAGTCTTCCCTCTGAGATAGATCAAGGTGAGGATTAACTTTTCTTCAAGTTAATTTGTATTCAAGCAATAAAACATATATTTTTACTCAGCATTCATCTAATAATATAAACATTGTTTTAAATCCAATAAACAACGATCATTGAATTAAAATGACAATATAGTGACAATTTAAGGATATAAAATTATAAAGTAATACAGATTTATATTTTACGAGTACATTTTGGAATCAGAAATAATTATTGTTATAGTGATAAAATTTATTCTTGAAATATTTTCTGATTTTATGTACACTTTAACAGTAGCTTAAAAGTATAATAAATGTGTATAATGTTTATGGGATTGATAGCCTCTATAGTAAAAATACACTTTTATCTCTTGTGTGCAGCAGTCATACTCTCTTTAGTTGTTTAAATTATACTTACATTAGTAAGTAGTAAATAAGTAAGATTTATAGTACAATAAATCTTTAACTATGTACCTTGCAAATATTGCATTTATTTAATGTGACCAGAGAAGTGTTCATGGCATTAAATGTGTTTGTTATTCATGTCAATAATTTGTTTTTACAGAGTTAGAAAATATTCAATTAGAAGACCTAGACATAGTAGCAACACTGGGGGTCGGAGGGTTTGGTAGAGTGGAGCTTGTACAGTGTATTCAAAACAAGAACAAAACATATGCCTTAAAGTGTCTGAAAAAACAGCACATAGTCGAAACACACCAGCAAGAACATGTGTACAGTGAAAAAGAAATAATGATGGCCTGTAGACACCCCCTGATTTGCAGGTACATATTGTAGCACATCCATGCAACTTAGAATAATCATTATTAGATTGTAGCACTTCACCTTACCTTTACCATTTTTATTTTTCGCCCATGTTACCCGTGGATTTGTACGCCTGGGAACACACTAACATGTCTGGTAAGATTTTCCAATGTTGTCATTTTGGAAACTTTAGGCCTACAGTATTGACGTTAAAAAACCTGCACCTTGCAAAATAAACAACTTTTTTCCATGTTTCACTTCCATCATCGTGCAACAACAATTGATTTGTTTTTGCTGTGTAGGGAGTATAGAGGGGGTAGGTGCAGATTACGGATGATGATTTTATTGCTATAGTGTGTCATATGCTCTACCTTACCATGTTGGTTAACCCAAAAACCTCCTAAGGTGAATGTGACATATGGTCAAACTATTTCCCGTGCATTACCTGTGAAAAATGTAAAACTTATATTGTAGGTTAAAAAATTACAAGTATGTCCTAAGCCTAAGGAAGCACTGTAGAACATCCAATATCATACATTGTGATAGTTTAATGTTTGCCCGGCTTTCAATATTAGTCCCTGATTTACACCACAGAGATACAGAGGATACAAGCTTATGGGACAACTGTGTGCTTTTAGTTCTGGTTGTTGGGGCGGAAATGTACTAATATAGAAGAAGGAAGAGCCCAAACAGCAATAACCACATATAGCATAGTTGTACAGCAGTTGTAACGCCCAGGGTCTTCCTACCGCGTGAGCGCTGTAGTATGTGATGGCCAAGGGGGAAAGGAAAGCAGAAGTGGGCGATCAAAAGAATTTCCTCTAGACACCACTTAATTGTAACATTGAATCTATTTTTACTTTGTTAGTTTCTTACTTCTCTGAGGTTACACATATTTTTTTTTTTACTATCCGAGTTAACTATCTACTTTAAATAGTGATTTCTTTCAAATGGATATTGCATTTTCTTTTCCTTACTGTAAAAAAATGTATTCCTCATATTACCGATATGTTTATTTTTATTTTATGACCCTCTAGTTGGAAAAAATTTTTTTGTTCCAACCATGAAGATCAGGGACTTGAAAATACAGTATATTTCTCTGTAAAACAAAAACATAAAGTTTATACATGTGACTATATTTTTCTATCTACACAGTTCCATCTTGTAGCAACAAGTGGTGTGGTGTGGGGCAGGAACGGCGGCATTCCCACTGTATTTTTCCAAATATCCTAAATGTTCTAAGACGATGGTGAGTGTTCCTACATTGGAAAATTTACAAGTAAATCAATGCAAACAACCTCACCTCTTCAGATTAGTATACATCTGGAAAGTGTCCAAGAGTTTCCAGTCCTATAACAAACATTTTACACTATTTAAATACCTCTTGCTCCAGGTTATACAAGACATTCAAAGACAACAAGTACGTGTACATGCTACTGGAGGCGTGTCTAGGAGGAGAGGTGTGGACTATTCTACGAGACAGAGGATGTTTTGACGACTCATCCGCATGCTTCATCGTGGCCTGTGTCATCGAAGCGCTTGACTATCTCCACTCCAGAGGCATCGTCTACCGGGATCTCAAACCAGAAAATCTTCTGCTAGACTCCAGAGGATATGTTAAACTTGTAAGTGAACAATTGACTCCCTGCAGCTATTACAGTAAAAACAATATTAAATAGCTTTACGGTTGAAAAATAGTTTAAGATGATTTTAATCTTTTTGATGCCCATATACTATTGAAAAAAATTCAACAAAAAGTATATAAAGCAATTTGTTCAGTTCAGAATAAAATGCCACCCAGTTGGGGTTTAATCCCAGTACCTACAGCTAAAAAAAAATGTTTTAATTGAACTTCTTAAATGATCTAATGGTTTAAAATTCAACCATGGACAACTACTGCCCAATTTAAATTTTACCAACTTTTCTAAAGTAGGTATTTGAAAAAAATATTACCGTATTTATCAAATAAAATTTTGTCTTGAAAAGTAACAGCATTTTAGTAACAGAACAATATTGTTTTAGATCCAGGACGTAATACAACTCTCTGACTGACTTGTATTACACACCTTTTGGCATTAAAAGGTCTCATAATCCTGCTGGAATGTTTTGTGTCTTCAAAAAGCTCAAATTTTACAGCCTTTCTCCAATTGATTATTTGAAGTTGAAATCCTTAAATTTGCTGTCAACAAACTTAATTTATTTTTAAAGGTAATATCTATAACTTTTCAAAATGTTTAATGAACTATTGTGGAGGCCTCTATATTGGTTAATTTATACAAACGACCTGCCTTTTAATTTAAACTCAAACCCTGTTCAATATGCTGATGCAACAGATGAATTGGAATCAAACAGCCTTAACAATTTACACAGTTTGATAAACCACACTTGGAAGATTTACAAAAATGGTTCACATTCAGGATTAGGTCTTATCTGTTTTAAGACTTCAAATTTAAATTTGTTATGAACCCAGAAATAATACCTTAAAAGGTTGATAGAGGTTGATACAAAACACTCTGTTCAAATGTATTTGTTACCCAAATGTGGGCTGCACTTTAGTTTACGTCCTACACTCATTCGAAAGAACATATCGATCGATATATCGATTATATCATTCGATATATCAAGTTTGGTTAGTTAGGTTAAAACCTAACCTAACTAACCGAATAATCTATATAATGATATTTTTCATTCGAATGTGTGTAGGACCTAAACTAAAGTCAGGCCAAATTTTGAATATGGAGTCTACTGTCGGGTCAAAAAGTATAGATACTCGAGTTTGAGCTTTTATTGCACCGTAACCAGTAGACGTAGAAAAATACAAATTACATCATAATTTTACGAATTTATTTCTGCGTTTATTTGTGTTGGTTTCAAATTTTTTATGCAGTTTCAAAACCGGTCCCAGGCAGGGAGAACTCCCTGCCTGCGGATCGATAGCGGTACAAATTTCACGCACTATTGCGTTTCAGAACAGCTTTGATCATACGTCCATTTTAATTATTAAAGGCCCCTTAGCTAATGTGTAACTTAACTTTTCATTTGTATCTTTTTAAGAGCTTTAATTCAAGCTTTCATCGGAGTTTCTAGCTTGTCCCGTCGCTGAAATACAATGCCTTTGCAAAAACCATGACAGATTTTTTTCTTATTGACGGAAAATTCCAAAACTTATAAATATGCTTTATAATTATATGTTCTAAAAGCCATACAAATTTCATGACGATTAGATCATTAGTTTTCTTGTTATAAAATTTTAAAGTCGCCCGTTGTTGGTAAAGCGCTGAAAAACCTGTACTTTTTTCATTCAACCCGCTGAAAGGCAAAGTTGAAACTGCATAAAAAATTTGAAACCAACACACATAAACGCAGAAATAAATTCGTAAAATCATGATGTAACTTGTATTTTTCTACGTCTATTGGTTACGGTGCAATACAAGCTCAAACTCGAGTATCTATACTTTTTGACCCGACAGTAGTAGTCAAGAGTTCTTGTGCAATTCCATGATTTATAATTTTTAGTAAATATTCAAACACTTTGTAAAAACATCAGTCTTGCCTTTGGTCAAGTAAAGTCAAGTCAAAACATCCATTATTAGATATATAGTGCCACATTACATGAACTTGAATAGAGTCATAAAACTAAATAGAAATCGATTACAGCTAAAATATACATCCTACGGTATCTATTGTTGGTAGGCCTAAGCGCGTGTAGCTCTCAAGCCTTTATATTTTTAGATAAAAAGACTAAAAATATTGCTTTATTTTTTTTTAGAAAACCATGATTTAAGGATTGTGTTTACTGTATTTCACTAATATTTATGAAGTCTGCTTACAAAGCCAAATACAGCTCTCTAACCCTCTAAATGTATTGCAATTGTTTTGTTCTCCCTTAGAAGAAACGTTCATAGATCCTGCGGGGTTTATGTTATAGGTAATTCCAAAAGTTTAACAACTACTACTTTTACATAGGTAGACTTTGGGTTTGCCAAGAGACTTGGTCTTAACAGTGGAAAGACTTGGACATTCTGTGGCACGCCAGAGTATGTAGCGCCAGAGATCATCCTCAACAAGGGACACGACCGGGCTGTTGACTGCTGGGCTCTGGGTATACTGATGCATGAGCTACTCACTGGCGCGTAAGTCTCATAACTGCAAGCAATTGAAGTTTGGTTATATTTATTTGTACATGATTGGAAATAGCAACATTCCAGGGGAGACATCTGAGCACTGAAGTAGCTGAATGGTATAATATGTTTGCCAAGTAATCAGACGACAGACTGATGTTTGAAAGAACAGTTTCTGCATGTCCTGAGAAATGTTTGCAGCTTCTTGATAATTTGGAACTGGAGTGAAGTTGTCCTGTACAATATGTGTTTAATAAATAGTCCTGGTGAAGGAAACAGCTGGTATTGGTTAGTGAAAACAGTCCGTCTGGTTCATTCTACTATAATCTTTTAAAGTTGAACCTCGTGAGTACGAACCTCGGTAAAACAATTAATTACTTGATAAGACCAATTTTTTAAAGATCCCCTTGAAACTTTCATAAAGGTAATTGCTAAAAACACCTCTATACAGTGTAGTAATTAGGTTCAAACCTCCATAAGATGAATTTGTTTGTGACATGGGCTAGGACTGATTAACCTCTATACAACGAATATTCTTAGCACAAAACCTCTACAAGACGAATATGCGACCTTTTTAAGACTAATTTCTCATGATCTTAAAACTCCATAGTGACTAGGTAGTTTTCAAAACAAACAGAAGCTTGTCTCAACATGAAACCCCCACACATCCCTCTTCCTTCCACAGTTATTGTGTGGCGTGTGCCTGTGCAGTGACCAGTAACCTCTATAAATAACAGCACTTTAAAACTCAATAAAACGAACCTTTTCATAAAGAATATCTCGATATTAGGAATTTTTCCCCGCCCATTGAAATACTTCTTATAGGAGGTTTGACTGTATTCTTTATGATGGGTTATTAAGAGTACACCTTATTGCACCCTTATTTGAATAGTGATGATACAACAATACATGTTTGCTCATTCCAGAAAGTTAGGTACCATACTTAAAATAGTACATTTCTAAATTAACTAAAGGTTATGATTATATAAGTATTATATTACTTAAACAATTTGAATTGAAATTTTTGGAAAGAATGTAACAATAATAAGCATTTTGTACAGCAGATTAGTCTTGATTCTTTACAATTATAAACATTTTGCAGACCACCATTCAGTGGGTCGGACCCAATGAAGATCTACAACATGATCTTGAAGGGGATTGACCTGGTGGACTTTCCTCGTCATGTGACCCGAGCTGCTCAGATGCTCATCAAGAAGCTGTGCCGAGACATGCCAGCAGAGAGACTGGGCTGCCAGAAGGGGGGCCTTGCTGACATCAAGAAGAACAAGTCCGTATATTTGGATAGGTCTACTTATGAAATGTCTAGTAGGAATCTATATTTGCCTACAAACCTAAAACGTGTCCATGCTCGTTATTGCTTTGTTATTGTTGCCTCTTGCAAATTACCTCTCCCTTACAAAGGAAACACATGCATTAAAACATTAAAATATTTTTACCAGTTAGTTAATTAGTTTCTAGTTACTTGTTTGGTAGAACGTAGGTGAGGTAAGATGTTTTTGAGATGGGTAGAAATCCTGGAGAATCTTTAAAATCATTATTAACATAACATTTTGATTAACCCCCATTATAGCACAAGGATACCTTTTTTACCACAACATTCACAGTAAGAATTTCTTGCAGGACGTGAATTTCTTGGATGTCTATTAAATCCACAGAAGAAACAACCCTAAAACATGTATACAATATATAGTTCGGCCGCTTAGAAAGCGACCTCCTCCAGCATTAGTTTAGCATTAGCGCGCAGGTCGTTTTCTAAGCGGCCGAACTATAGATTGAATTAGAACTAGTTGCAGGATTTTGAATAAAGACTTAACACAAAAATGGCTTGTTTGTAGATGGTTCCAAGGTTTTGATTGGGACGGTCTAAGACACCAAACATTGTTGCCGCCAATTGTGCCTCAGGTTGGTATATTCATATTGTATTCATCTCTACATTTATCTTATATTATCAAAACAAACCATCGACTTATAGACTATATTATATTGTATTTTGTTGTCTCATGTTCTATACTCATAGGCAAATGGGATTCAGTTTGACTTTGAAGTTACAATTTTTAGTTGTTGGCACTGATTAGTGATTTTGTATGTAAAATAACTATATTATGTTTTGTAATGAATTTGTTGTTTAGTGAAATTTGATGTTATGAAGTGTTATTTTGACTGTAGGAAGTGTTTTAATTTTGTTAAAACTTTTTTTAAAGTAAGGATACTAATACTTTAAACATGAGTTGCACACTGCAAAATGAATTTTTTGACCACTGTCTATTATGAAAAGTGATTCATGAAAAAATATTGATAGATGTAAGGTAACGTGTCAGTTTAAGATGTCCATAACTGGTTAATTGTTGGAGTTGTAATGGGATCCAAGGGATGAGATTTACAGAGTTGTTTATAAAATCCCTTAACAATCAAAAAAGAGAAAGCAATGAAAAATCTTATCAAAAGGTTTGAAGTCGGTATGGCTGTATATTTTACATTTACAGACATTATTTCACGGTTCTTTAATATTTATCCTCTGTTCGTCTAACTCATTATCGTCAATGTGTAAGGATTTTGTTAGTATATAGAGGTAAATCTTCTCTTAAAGAGCTTAAGAGTGGTGATCCAAGATCATGTTTCATGTTAACCATTAACTAGTTTAACTGGTCCTTTAAACTAAACTACACGATGGTTTTAATGACTAGCAAAGTTAGTTTTTGCATTTATTTATCAATGTTTGTACTTGTATCGATTACAATTTTAATGCATTAAGTAAGTACAGTACCATACCGTAACATAACAAAATGACACGAGGGCATGCCTTGTTGCCCTGATACAGTTAATGATACTGTGTGATGTGATATGTTTTGTAGGTGAGAAGTCCAGTAGATACGTCAAATTTCGACCACTACACCAAAGACACACAAGTTCCTTTCGATGAAGACTCCAACTGGGATGCTGACTTCTAATTTTGTAAAAAAGATTTTAATAGTACTCGTACCTTTTACCATCAAAGAATTCTACCGATACGCATAATTTATAATATTATGGAAAGTGTTACCAATTTAATTGCTGTCATTGTTACCACAATACTTGTTAAAAATGATGAACATACTAATTATTTTATAACATAGAGACCTATTTATTATAAAGTACTTGATTTACACAGTATTATAAATATTAATTTTATGTTTGATGTTAAGTAAGTAATATTTGAAAAGGTGCAGTATTTGCATCAGTCAATGAACGGTTAGCAAAGTAAATTTTAACAATGCTATTAAGTTTTAAATTGAGTGTTGAAGCTGAGCAAAGTCATTATTCAAGAGTGATAACTTTTATTTTAAAAGCGGGTTTTTTTTTGTAAAGATACATTTGTAAGACATTGTGATATAAATTGAAGTTTTAAAATGAGGAAAAATATTGGTCTGATATAGATGTTCAAACTTATTTTTAGAGACAATTTTATCCGTAATAAACTATCATGTTCAACTTGTATTGTAAAGCTCTACTTTCATAAACCTTATGATTTTCTTTACAATAAAACAAGAACTAGTCATATAGTCAAATGATAACAATATAGGTCTTAACTAGGGATGGTCAAGTCTCGAAATTTTGGGAAATTTTAAATCTCGTTACACGAGACGAGATTTCTTTTTGGCCGAGATTTTTATCGAGACAAGAATAAAAAAAAAAAAAAAAAAAAAAAAAATTATTAACGCCTGCAGAAAGTCAATGCAATACCCGCAATACAGGAGCGTGTTGTAGTTGCGTTTCCTTTGCAAAGGCGTTCTTATTGAATTAATTCTTCAAATGTAAATATTACTTTAATTATTTTAATAACATTTGAGAAGTTTTGTTAAGTGTTTGTTAGCAGTGTGAGGAATGTTTTATTACTATAAAAAAAGTCAAAACCAGTAACTATTTTATAAAAATTAATATTTTATTTTATGATTTATTTTATTTTAGGATGAGTTGAACTCTATCCTAACTGATATCACTATGTTTCCTAATCGTAGGCATTTTTAATAAGTTAGGCGTGATTAATAAAAAAATGTTATGCTGATGTTTTTTAATAAAAGATTGTAAATATTCTTGCCTATTATCATTATTTTTGTATTTAAACAGTCATCTAACAATGTTACAAAATCTGGTAAAAATTCCGCACGTGCATTTCCCGTTGTGTATGAGAAGGGAAATCCCGTCTCGATCTTGTCTCAAAATTTTATGAGAAATAAAAAATCTCGTCTCGTCTCGTCTCAAACTAAAAATCCGATCTCGTCCATCCCTAGTCTTAACAATATAAGCCCCGTTCACACGGGGCGAGTTTACAAGCTACACGCCCGCTTTTTTACACGCAGCTAGTAAAATAGCTCAGTGTGAACGACGTACTCGCTCAAAAGCTGATTGTAAAAAAGCTCTGGAAAAAGTTGACGATGCCACTACTTTACACGCCAACTCGCCAGATTTTGAGCGAGTAGGCGTGTAAAGTAGCCCAGTGTGAACACAGTTGCTTGTGCTTGTGCGCTTGTTACTCAAAGATGTTGGAGGATTTGGTTCAAGCCAGCTACTGAGCGAGTGGAAAAAGTGTCGTGTGAACGACTACAAGCGCACTCGCCGACTCGCCGGCGTCTTTCTACACGTTTGCGAGTGGACAATCTCCGTGTGAACGAATACAAGCACACTCGCCAAATCGCCGGCTTCTTACACGCTGGCGTGTAGCTTGTAAACTCGCCCCGTGTGAACGAGGCTATAGTCCAGGGGACAGAAACATGATTTTCAATAACTACTATTGATTCTATTTTAAGTCAACATGGTTAAGCCATCTGTTGGGAAAGGAAACCACTCCAGAATCCACCTGACCTTCATTTGGTATCAACAAGCTACGATGCTTCACTTTTTGAAATTATATATACTGTCAACTTATGCGACTTGACTATTCTTTGTGAGACGATAGAAAAATCCAAATATAGTGTTCTTCTGAATCAGAAGAATGGTACCGTGTCTTGATAGATTTACTTGTTGATGGAAATTTTATTGAGTTATTTAAGCTAACCTATAGGCTATCTAAAATTTCCTAAGCCTAATTCAATTTAGCATATGTTTCACTATAACAGTATTTTCATTTTGCGAGATACAGATAAGCTTTGAGTTAATGAGCTCAATCAAAATAGTTTTTGTATTGTTGCATGGCCAATAGTCAACGAGTTTATAAGGCTACAGAAGTTTGCTATCCTAACCTTAAAAGGTTTAATATAGTATTATTTTCATTTTCATGATTTTACACCAATAAGTAAAAATTCCAGACCCCTTATTATCAAGATTCAACTGTATAAACTTATGCAAGACAGTGAATTATAAAAATAATACAATATCGATAAATTTTGACCCGCAACATCATCAGGTTTTACCGGAGATCAATTAATTGTCGGAGACAAACTTGTGAAGACCAAGCCATTGTAATTAATTAATTATAACATATTTTTTATTTTATCGGTAAAATAGTACCAACACATTCAATGCTTTTGAAGAAATTATTTTGCCAAGCGAAATGAGATGAGGCAAAACTGTTCAATATCTTCAAGGTTGAATAAATGCACAAGAGGGGCTGCATAAACTACAGTCACAAGTAGCTAAGTGAGGAGAGGTGGATCACTGATCAGGTATCTTGACCATGATGTGTTTCACTTTGAAGCTTCTATTGTAGGCATTATGTCTTAGCCACATGTCACATTTCATAAGTTGCATAATGTTTTATGGAACTCTTTGCACAATAAGCTATGGTTAACATGCCTGGACTGAGAGTTCACTTCTCATCAACCAATAACAAATGGAACTATAACTTTTCATTAATTTACCAAGCCTCCCCATTTTCATTCAGGTTTAAGTAGCCTTTGTAAAAAATAGTAGTCTATGACCAAAGGGAAAAAATAAAGCCGTCAGATTATCTGAGCTATATGTTTTAATTATAAAAGTACAAAACACCCTGAGTGAAATTTCACAATTAACATCTTATCTCATGAAAATAGTTTCTTACGAATGGGACAAAAGAAAGGAACATTAGTTGTGTTGTTAGAGTTATATTAAATGTATATGCTAACAAATATATCTGAAGCTCTAATTAAGAAAATTAAGAAGTAAGAAAAACTATTTTTTTTAGGTATAGGCCTATGCATTTGGTACCTTCAGTTAGTTCCATTAGGTGAACAATGATATATATCTCAATTATAATATGATAAAGTATTCAACCTATATATATTTTACTACACAACAATACCTTCATTGTCATAAGTCAAATCAATAATACAGTGTTCATAACATAAAGTAAGAGAGTGATGTGGATCATCTTGACTTAACTTCTTATAGGATAAACTTATAGGATTGTAAAAGATGTCAAGACATAGGATTCTCATTGAAGGCTGTGTTAAAGGGGTTGAAATTCCCTTTATAGAAACCTTGATGAAAAATCTAGAAAAATAGTCTCCAAATACACAATGTCATTCTCTTAACCATCAACCTTGTAAAAACTAGTTTAATGTGCATTTAATTTTAGTAAAAAAATTAATATTAAAAAAAATGCTGATTATGGAACTGGGACTACTAAAGAAAAATGTGGGCCTCATCTCCAAAGACTATAAAATAGAAAAGATTTTTTCAAGTAAATGTAAGATGTCAAGCCTATGATGTATGATGTATAGCCTAACATTTGAGTTGAATAATGAATTAAATATAAGAAACATTATCATGTCACTAACTTGTTTTATAAAGATCGTTTTTTCAATGTAAATAAAAAACACAATAGTCGAGATATAGTTAGGGTTAAATAACTGAGAAATTGTGGTCTTAACTAAACTCACAGGTTTAGAAACAAAATACCTCTTTAAAACAAAAACAAAACATTATATAATACATAATAATAGTATAATCCACTAGAAGTTTTATTTAAATAGAGTCCTTGGTTACATACAACAACCCATAGACCTCGGTTACGTCCTTTGGAATAGAGTTTAAAGCTAACGTAATTAACAAGTCAAAAAGATAATGACAGGTAAAAAAGAGTATGGAAAGGAGAAAACAATATCTACAAAAACACAACCTATAACCTTGTAGATATGGAATCACTGGAGGTTGGCTAGAAGCAGAACCTCCTCACAGACTCGCTTGTAGCACCAGGCGTCGCCTTTGAGGCGTTTCCTGCGAACACCGACCACAGAGCCACTGACGTTTGCTGTAGTGGGGATGAGACAGATCTCTAGCTCAAACGATAACTTGCACACCTTCCCTTCTGATTGTACCTTGCCTCTGATGGAATACCTGGCAAAGACACGTATAGTTAGGCGTGATTATGAGAAAAATCTCTTAATAGTAACATTTAAGGTTACTAATCCCAATTTGGCCATGAGAGAGATTAAATTTAACTCAGTTCATATTAGTTGTTTGCCTAATAATAATTATTATTATTTTCTAACAACTGATTTAAGTTAGATAGTAAAAATATCAGGTTTTTTATATGGTATTGTAGAAAATGTTAAAAATTCCAACGCGTTGACAAATATGATAAATCAATATTAAAATAAACTCTATATACTTTAACATTTACTGAATTGTAGGTCCATTTCAATCAACTCACCCTTTGCAGTGACATTCGATGCCCTTGCTGTTCAATGCCTTTACTAGTTCTTCCCTGACATAGTCTGGACTGCTTGATGATGTAGTTGAAATATTGGACATGTTCTAAAAGAAACAACACATGTTCAGTATTCATTTTGGAAAATCTAGTAAGCAGCTTTTATATCTGAAGGTGAATGGACTCGTAGGAGCTGTATTATAAAGTGTTTATTATTTAAATAGCTGTGTGCCCGTTCTACGTAGTAGTCAGTCGAAACCTTCTTATATTAAGAACAGCGGTTGGTTTGCATTTTCAGATATGCTGGCAAAACTATTATATATAAACCTTGGCAAATACAGTGTCTGACAGTTTCAAGCCAAAAAAAAATGCTTCGCAATTAAATGTCACCCGGATCGTGTTGGTCCATATGTTAAATCCAATGATTAAACTAAAAAAAGCTTTATAGGCCTAGATCTATGAGGCATAGCCCTAAGGTAGGCCTATAGTTGAACGTTACTTTCCACAATGGTTAAAAAAAGTCCCCTCAACCTAACCATTTAACACTTTATTCGGGTTGACATTTTCATTATAAAAGGGGCTCTCGTCCTTTCGTTACACTGAGAAATAAGGACATTAATGCGTTACCAACAGACATACGTACACAAAAATGCAGAACTTAATAAGGGAATTTGCTACGTTTTAAACATAACAAAGTACATAATAAAATTAGTATTTGAAATCTCTGTCAATGTCATCAAATTTTATCATAACAATTTATATTTGCTTGGATCGAAGATAACCCGAAATGCTGTCGAAATGACGGCTTACTATATGAAATATGAAGTACTATAAACGATTTAGATATAATAAAAATAAGTAATTAGTAATTAGTAAATAAGTAATTTAGATATAATAAAAATAAGTAATTATAATAAAAATTACCAAAATAGGCCACGAACTATTGATACACAAACAACGTAAATCGTAAACGATTCATGATGGTTTGCTGAACAAATGTTTTACTTAAATGAGTTAACATTTTCTTAGCATAAACTAACATTTTGGAATCCAGACAGAAAAAGCAAAACTTATACAGTTAACATCAATTAAATTGAATACGGCTGTAATACGACTGTATAAATAAAGGACAACATCAACGATAACTAATTTGTAAATTACAGTGAAGTGTTGGTACGTAAAAATGATTCTTGCTGCTACCAACGGTTCTAAGGAAAATAACCAGTACCAAAAACCAACGTTTGCAGTTAAGAATTACGTCCGACCAATTAAATGCAGTCCCAAAGTTATTGATTTCTTGGTTTTGGATTTTCTCGTAAAAAATTATCGGCAATCAAAGCTATTTCCCATTAATTGCTTTATTCGTAAACAACTTATAATGTAAACTTATCTTATTGGTGTCAGTTTAAAAAAAAATCACCTTATACAAACAACTTTTTGTTATTTAATAGATTACGTATTCTCTAAACAATGATTGGTATATCTTTTAACTAGGGATGGTCAAGTCTCGAAATTTCGGGAAATTTTTGGGAAATTTTAAATCTCGTTACACGAGATGAGATTTCTTTTTGGCTGAGATTTTTATCGAGACGAGAATAAAAAAAAAAAAAAAATTAAAAACGCCTGCAGAAGGTCAATGCAATACCCGCAATACAGGAGCGTGTTGTAGTTGCGTTTCCTTTGCGAAGGCTTTCTTATTCAATTAATTCTTTAAATGTAAATATTACTTTAATTATTTTAATAATATTACTTTAGTAACATTTTAAAAGTTTTGTTAAGTGTAAGCAGTGTGAGGAATGTTTTATTACCATAAAAAGTCAAAACAAGTACCTAACTATTTTATAAAAATAATGTTGCTTTTATTTTATGATTTATTTTATTTTAGGATAAGTTGATATAAGTAGGATAAGTCCTAACTGATATCACTATGTTTCCTAATCGTAGGCATTTTTAATAAGTTAAGCGTAGTAAAATGTAATAAAAAAATGTTATGCTGATGTTTTTTAATAAAAGATTGTAAATATTCTTGCTTATTATAATTATTTTTGTATTTAAACAGTCATCTAATAATGTTACAAAATCAGGTAAAAATTTTGAACGTACATTTCCCGTTGTGTATGAGAAGGGAAATCCCGTCTCGATCTCGTCTCGAAATTTTATGAGAAATAATAAATCTCGTCTCGTCTCGAACTAAAAATCCAATCTCGTCCATCCCTATAGAAGGAAATGTGACAAAAAGTAGCGGTATCAAGGATCGTCGTCGAAAATGTTGTTATGAATAATTGGGTAGGCGTAAGTACCCAAGAGAAGGGCTATGGGCCTATTGGCTGTATGGTCTAACCAACGATTGCATCACACGGTGAGTAGGAACAGAAAGTGACACATTGGAAAAGCAAGTTTAGCATCATCCATAAACCGTAAACCTCTGTTACAATCACCCACTGCAGTTTTGATTTTTTACTTTACACTTTACACAACCGCCATTGAAGTGCCGTCAATGAGTGGAAACCTTGTTTGTAAGCTATTGGCGACGATCATTAATAAATTTAAGTTTCCCAGCCGTATACAACACTGATTCAAGGTCTTCTTTATGGTTATCAAAACTCAAGAAGAATTTTATACACAAAGGATCCTGACCTGGATGATGCCTAGTTATTTAATTTCATTTACGGTTACACTAAGAACACTTTGTTATTCTTCACTATGTTGACTTTGTTATTCCACTTGCGATTAATTAAATCCGTTATGTAAGAAAAACGTTTTTAATCTCACTTGGATGGGATTTGCCTTCAAAACGTGATTGGAAATGGTTGCGGTATTTTTAAACAACATATCAGTGACAGCTAGAAAAAAATAATCTTGATCCAAACAGCTGTTTGTTATTTCATAGATGATTATGTGATGAAAATTTGACGAAAACTTGACAAAAATCGCACAAAACTGCATTTTTGAACGTCCGTAATTTTATTTACAAAGTAGTGAGGCCATATTTTAATGGCTAAAGACAGTCTCGCCAATCCAGTGAATACATTAAAATGACCTGGATCTTGTAGGTACTCTTGTTTTCCTGGAAAAGATTGCGTAAAATGCCATCTTGAGTGTTACAGACAGACAGAAAGACAGACAGACAGACAGAAATTTAGATGAGACTTGTTTCGGCTTCTTTAATGTATAAAACGTAAAAACAACCTAAAGCGATGTACAGACAAAACTCTAATTTTATTGATATAGATGCCAGAGGAAATAAAAAGGAAGCAGTTCTAAATTAGTTTTATACCGATGAATTACATCATAAAAACTGTGCATAGTGTTCACACTGCAATGGATCCTAAAATACATTGTCAGGTAAATGAGATAGAGGCCAAACATTGATATCTGTTTCATTTTTCCAAAGTGATTTTATTAATTTGACTGCAGCTAAAAATATTCTAAGTAATTTAGTAGATTACCTTGGAAGTTAGAAGGGTGGGCAGAATGCAGTCATTGGATTGTTGCTTTTTGGGGGTGAGAGCCTTGCGTACGTGTTGCAGCTTGCGTTCTATGCTGTTCAAAAGCCGTGAGCTCGGCGATGACACCCTGTTGACTGGGGTACTGGGTGTGCTGCAGATCAACAATATGTGTATTAAGATTAAGTGAACAAATTTTGATTTTATTTTCAAATGCATTACTTATACGTTCCTAGAAAATATTAACAGAAAAAGCAATTTGTTTGTTTGGAATAGATTATAAACAGCATCTAATATGAGTTAAAAAAAGTACAATTGAACTGCTTATTATTGGATTTATTAAAAGTTAAAAGCTCGTTGCAGCAAATGTACAGAATGATAAAAATGTAATCAACAGACTTCAGTTCACATTACAGATTATAGAGGAATTGTCGAAAGAATGGCTCAAGTGAAGAAATGTACCTGATTCTCTTGTAGGAGGAGACCATCGAGTTGAAAGATTTGGTATGGAAACTCTTCCTGACAGAAAAGAGAGGAACTGTTGGGTGTGCAGCCCAATTAGTTTGTCAGCAGGAGGGAAAAGGAAAAAAATCAAGAACTGTGTGTGTACGTTGCCAGAAAGGAGTACACCCGGTGTGCTTCGGACAACACAAGTGTTAGGAAAAAGCAATTTGTTTGTAAATATTAGTTTTAGGGCCTAGTGGTTTTTTCATAAGAAAGATGTTTTAAGTTTTTATTCAAGTATTTTGTTCCAGAACATAACTTTTTGTTGAAATGAACAGTGGTTTATTGAATTTGTTTGGTGTAGACTGCATCACCAGCTTATTTTTCAAGGTAAGACTATGAAATTTAATTTAGACAAGGTTACTAACAACTGCATGTACTTTCAGGAAATAACACTGAATGCTATGAAATATTTTTACTTTCTCTATAGGCTACCTCTCTATAGGCTACCCATAGTATATGGAGAAAGTATTGTTTTCGTCAACATTTTTGAGTTTGAGTTTTGAGTGGATATATTCGTTTTGGGCCCCCTGGACCCAAAAAAGTGGTTTTCGAAGTGATGTCTGTGCGTGTGTGTGTGTGTGTCTGGATGTGTACAGGCTAGGGACTACACCTGTGGCCAGATTTCGATGAAATTTGGTATGTAGGTTCTAATCCATGGTATCTCCAGGCGTTTTCATTTTTTTGAAATTTTGATTTTTAAGGGAGATTTTTCCATAAAAACCCATAAAAAACCGGAAAAATCGGATTTTCTCGAAAATGGTCTGAACAATTTTGATCAAAATTTAGTATGTTGTAACCCTCTAAATTCTGAACAAAATGGTACAAATCCCATTTCTGCAATAATTACGGTTCAAAAGTTATGGTAAATTATGTTATTTTCCCATAAAAACCCCATAAAATAACGAAAAATAGGATATTTTGAAAAAAAATCTGGTTTTAATTTAACATAGTATGTTATGGTCCTTAAAGTTTTGATAGTTTTTTCACTTTTAAAAAATTTGGATTTTTAACGGAAATTTTCCCATAAAACCCCATAAAATAACGGAAAAATAGGATTTTCCCAAAAACGGCCTGAACGATTTTGATAAAAATTTGGTATGTTATAGTCCTTTATATTCTGAACAAAATGGTACAAATCCCATTTCTGTAAAAATTATGGTTCAAAAGTTATTGTAAATTATGTTATTTTCCCATAAAAACCCCATCAAATAACGGAAAAATCGGATTTTCACAAAAATGGCCCGAACGATTTTGATAAAAATTTAGTATGTAGTCCTTTAAATTCTGAACAAAATTGTAACAATCCCGTTTCTGTATATTTACTCTCACCGCTTTGCTTACACATGATAAAGGTTGTTGACAAACTTATGGGAGAAAGTATGTGTCAGAATGCTGATACCGTTTATTTTGGAATGTAGTTATTGTAAGTCAAAGTGCAAATTTTATATGTTTACCATATTACACATAATATTTTTGATTTTTAGATTTTTCAAAAATGTTTTGTTGTTGTTGTATCATTTTGTAGGCAATTTCATTTACAAAAAAAAGAATAAAAAAAAAATTAAAAGATCCCTTAACAAATAAAAAAGGTAGAGTTATTTTTCTGCAACACTGCAATTGTACAAAAATTGGCGTTGACGTTGTTAGCATATATTTAAGTAAAATAGCTGGCGGCAAAGGGCTAATGAAGTTAGAAAATTGACTCATGTCCGAAACTTGTTATTTCAATAAAAATAAAAATACAATAATGCCAGGGTGCTAAATGGTGTTTAATTTGCTACTTTATAATTATGTATGAATGTAGGTATGAAATAAGACATAATAAATAAAATCTAAATGTTTGGTTTTTCAAATATTTGGTTAACAAATTGAAATTATTTAAGATTATCTTTTACCTTCTATTTGATTTTTTAGGTGTCTGGAATCCTTCGTTGGGAGTGATTTCTGTAGCTGCGACTTTTTTTGGGACTGAAACAAACCGTGATAAATTACTACTCTGTAGTTAGAAATGCTATTGATAGTTAAGTATACTACAGGTCATTATTATGTCTAAACTTACTCGGAGATGCTGAAGGCTCCCTTGTGATGCTTCTCTGACGCTTCCTCAGCACTCGACTCCTGGTGCGCTCAGGAGGCAGCATCATGTTGCTCTCATTTTCCTTCTCTGTCTTTTCTGCAACAACATGGACAAACATGAGACGTGCATTTCTCATGCAATAAATTATTTGCCAAATGCAATTGGTGTACACTTGGTTTTTCGTATGCTTAGTCCAAACAAAATAAAACATTTGTTGTAGCAATAGAAATGAGTTTATCATCAGTGTACGTGCGCAAGCCACCAAAGATACCACAACTAGGAATAACTCTTCAAGCTGGGCTGAAAATAACATCTTTGTTTAATTCTAAAGATCCAACCACCTTTCCCTTTCATTTGTCTAGCTGGCGGTGTGAGTTCTTGGCGATGGCGGAGTTCTTTGTTATGAATGAGTGGTTAATCCATAAACCTGCCAGCTTGACTTCCAACATAGGCCAGTTCCAACACCAAACCAACAATGATACTCATAACACTTGCAAGATCCTTCTCTAGGCCTGAATGGAACTGCTATAACGCAAATTGGTAGGTTTTCTCATCCGAGTTGAACAGGGACATCTAGTTTATCATTCCAGCTATTAATAAATGTAACCGATTTTATCGAAATTGAATTGATCAGCTCACATTAATTAAAACAATTCACTTATTTATGAACACATCTCACCTGGAGTTTTTTCAGTCTTGGGAAGCTTGACAAAAGTGCCTTTAGGATTGATGTCTCCGCCAACAACAGCTCTTCTCATACTCTAAAAAAAAATTTAATTAGTAAATTAACTTTACGGAGTTGAATTTGGAAAGGGATTAGTTCAGTTTGGTTACCTGAGGAATTACTAAACTTTTAGAAAGAAAACCAATATCCCATTACATTGTGCTGATATTACTTTTTATTTATTTTCAAAAAGACAAGAAATAAACATATTTGTTGAGTTACTCTTTTTTTGGTAGTCTTTATTCATACAAAATTTCTTATTTTAGTGAAAAATTTTTTATAGTATTAACAGTGTAATGTAGTGTAAGTAGAACATGACCACTCTTAGAAGGTAACACACCCCGTTAGTGATGGTCACAACCAGAAATTTCGAATCTCAAAACCGAAACTGAAACTTAAAAAAATCGAATCCCGAATCTCGAATTTCAAAATCTAAACGCGAAACTTTTTTACTTAGCTGGTTACAAAGGTCAAAGTTACAAAAAATACACATAATCATAAAATGTTAAGTATGCAATCAAAACTGAAAGAGATCGACTCCTGACCGTGACATATCATAAATATGTGAATGTGACTGATAATCTTAAAACCCAATACAACATAATTTTTCATAAACAACCAACAACAAAAATAAATTAAACTTCTAACACCAACATAAACATGAATATTAGATTAATTAGAACATTTAGTGGTCAATATATTTCTTTGTGTTTAGTAAAGTTGATGTGAAACTGAATTGTTATAGTATTTAAGATACCTTTTGAAGTTAAGGATAAAATTTACTTGTTTCATTACTGTTAATGGTGATGTTTGCTCTGTTGCTACCAGCTTGTTTGAAAACAGTGTTAAAAACAATAACAATGGCACAAAAAAATGTCAGCAGTTTCAAAAATAAAACTACCAAAATCTTCAATTTTGAAACTTTTGAATCTCGAAACTTGGTGATCGAATCTCGAAACCGAAACTTTTCCTAAGTTTTGATGGTTTTGAGATTTGAGATTCGGTTTTGACACATCACTACACCCCGCGGTAAACACTATTTCAGAAGACTATAGAATTTCTACAAGAGTAGCCTACAGGCTACAAATAAACCTACAAGGGACATTTCAAAACCTGAATTTTATTTTTTAGTAATCAGAGCACAGCAATGCAATTAAAATCCAAACCATACATATAACTACTAACAATATCAATAAACCTGCTCTTATTTATTGTAAAAAAAACCTAAATAAAAAAAAAAAATTGGTTTTAAAAAACACCATTAAAAAACATGTTTTACTCTTCAATTCTATTTTAAACTGTTGTTCTTGTAACTGCCATCTAGGCCTACTTCTGAAGCCTCTGAAAGAGGTGAAATATCAAGTACTATTATGTGTGTGTGTTTTATGTGTTCTTTGACTCGTATGCAACCTTTCATCAGGTGAGTTAGCTGTGTCCTCTCCATCCTATATATTTCTTCAATTCTTTTGTAATTGCAAATAAATATAAACATTTTGCTCCAGATTATTTGATGTGAGACACAACTGACTGACCTGTAGTCTGGTCCGAGCAGAGGGAGGTAAGCTGAGTTGCAAAGGCAGTCCCAGTTTCTTGCGGGCCAGAAGCAGCTGATAAGTGGCACTGTACCAGTCAAACTGTCTCTCCTGCAGCTGTGTCCACAACTCCTCTCCTGACACACGGTAGTACGCTGCCATTGTGTTCAGGCAGTTGTTGTCCAACTCTACCTCCTACAGTCGTCAAACAATAAAGGCAATGTCAAAGTTATTAAAATCCTGACCACTATCTCTTTTAATCTACAATAGGGTCAACATTGACAGCACTGACTATACAGTAACATTGGCAACAAATCTAGGAATCATGTGGAAATCTAAAACCGCACAGCACTTGTGAGGATACAGTAGCAATCCAACATTAATAAATACTACATAGAAGGGCTAACCCACTAGCGCTCGAAAAGTGATTCCAGCCCCCCTCCCCTCCCAGACGAGTGTAAAAACCCGGTTAGTGTGTGGCGTTTTCGTATTTTTGGCACTGCTAAATTAGGGGTCTGCGGGTCAGACTTTTTTGGTTCGGGTCGGGTCGGGTCGGGCCAATAATTTTGGTCCTCGGGTTTCGGGCCAAAATCGGGTCGGGCCAAAAATTATTAATTACCGGATTTTTTTATTTTTTTAACTCCTATCTGTGTTTATAATATTACTTGAAAATAACATATGGAAAAAGATTGTATTTATGTATATTATTTCATGTTCATTACTTATTTACAGCTTAGGAGTTGCCTCAACTGCAAGAAAGAAGAAAATAATTTTTTTTTATCAAGCCATTCTTTCCCATTTTCATAACTGTTGAAATATCTAAACAGCTATATTACAACAAGTTTGTAATGGAACTTAATATAAATGGATCATAAACAAATCAATTAACCTTATCACAAGTTTAGGGCCTGTGGCTTCAAGACTGCAAGCAAGAAGAAAATAAAAATTCTATGTTTCCACCATGCAATATGAATCATTCATTCACTGCCTCCTAACCTCCTCTCACACTTACAATAGCATTATTAGTTACATCATCATAAATAAAGAATTATCTATTATTGGCATTAGTATGCCTACAGCTTTACATAGGAATTATTTTTTATAGGGCCTAAAATAGTAATAGACTAAGCAACATGACAAGTGGAGAACTCGTTGAAGAAAAGATATTGTGTAAACTAATTTACTATAAAACTCTAAAACAATAAATATAACACACATACATTGTTTATGGTATAGTTATAGTAAAGACTGTAAAAATTGCATATCATGTCATACACAGTTATAGATACACAGTTATAGGCACAGTTATAGGTATTGCAAGAGATTAAAATCCTAAAACAACCGATTTTAGCTAATAAATGAAAAGAATTAAAAATCCATAAACTCAAGTCAAACAATATCACAATTATTAGGTACCCGAAAAGGAATTCTTAATATATAGAAAATTATATTAAATCAAGAGAAAAGAAAGTTAAATGCTAATTTGGCAACATAAGCAGACAGCAGAGACATTATAGTGCCCTAATTAGCAACAAAACTCAATGTTTTTATACTGTAAGTCAATGTTTTTGAAACTGTAGGGTCTTTTTCTCGGAAGGAAGGGTAGTAGAATGTAAACAAAAAACCATGAATCACTCTCACAGCCGGGCCCGGGGACACTCAAGGTTACAGACCCTCCCCTTCCCCTCCCCTCCCATCTTACACAACTCGAGCCAGGCCCGGGGACACTCAAGGTCATAGACCCTCCCCCTACCCCACCACTATTACGCCACCCGGTTGTTCCAATTGCTGACAAAATACAAGTAACAAAACAAGGAAGTAGAGACAAAAAGATATATTTTCTTTATTCAAAAATATAAAACTGTTACAGATAATTTCCAAAGAAATTAATTCATGGTAGTTTGTGCCTTGTAAATATTGTATTGGATCTTAGAAATATATTTTGTGAAACTCAATCTAACTTAAGAAAAAAATAATTTTACTGATGAAAACTTTCATAAAATTATAAAATATTTAGGCCTAACCTCTTTATAGACTTGTTGATACTTGATACTTAAAAAAAAAATTAAATGGTGACCATAATATGCCGAACCAGACGATCAGAAGTGTTGTTTTGTTTTGTTACTGAATGACAAAAAGGAAAATGGGAAAATAAAAGAACAAGATACAGATCTGTACACTATATCAGATATTTCTTTTGTTTATAATTTATTATGTAAATAAAATACTAAAATATAATTTAAACTAGGTATGGAATAAACAATAAATAATTAAACTGGTACCTCTGGATAAATAGTCTTTCTTTTGACTTCGTTTTCTTTGCACTGTTGCGTCACGGCTTTTGTTTTGTCAGTAGACGACTGGCTCTGGCTAGTGACAGTAAGGCAATAATTGCTCTGTTGTGTCTTTGTTCTTAAACGTGAGCAAACTTAATATTTAATTCTAATTTTAACATTTTAATTCCTCTGTAATAATGTATATAAAAGTGTTTCTTTGAAAATTACTTATTATAACTTTAAAAATAGCCTAATAATTATTTTTTTTGGCCCGACCCGATCTTGGCCCGAACAAATCTCTGACCCGACCCGGTCTCTCGGGCCTTCCGCTGGCCCGACCCGACCCGAAAAAATCGGGGACCCGCAGACCCCTATGCTAAATACAGCAGGGTATAGGCTGGGATGAAATTGGTTTTAGCAAAAATACTACAAAGTACAAACAAAGTCTCAGACAACTGTAGCAAAAATATCTATAGTATAATACGAGTAACGTTTGCGCACAATGATTTCAAAAACGGCTCCTATGATTTCCTCTTAATTGTTAGGAATATTTTAGTTTCAGGCTAAAAGCAATATCCATGCTAGCCACTGTTCTAAAAAATGTGTTTTTCGTTAAAAACTTGAAATGAAATTTAAATATATTTAACATTGGTCTTATGGAAAGCTAGGTAGCCATGATAGTTTTACGAAAATGTAAATAAATTAATTTAAACATATCATGCTTGTAACAAACTATCTACAGTACAGTGGCAAATAGTGATGGGTCGGTACCACTTTTCAATGTTGGTACCGGTACCGGTTTCTAACCAAAATCGATTGTTGGTTCCGGTACTATCGGTACCTCATTTTAAATTAGGCTACTTAATTGTTTTATTTTAAAAACAAAATATCCCAGTTTCAATTTTTAAGATTTTTTTTTTATTTGTGTAGGTTGGTTGGGTATAAAGAGATTAAGTAAATAAAACTTAGGCCTATTTGTACAAACAACACTTTGACAACCAAACACATTCAAAGCAAAACAATATTTGCCATACCAGAAGTGTTAAATATAGGCCTATTTGTTGAAATTATTCACTGTCAAACCAATAAATTTAACATAGGCTACTAACCTTGGCAGCAAGTACGTAAATATACTGCTAAAAATTTCAAAGGAAGTAATTTTGTACCTATAGCCTGCATCAAGTTAGTTTTAGGCTTCATTATTGAGGGAAACATAGAACAAAAGTATTTATGGACGTTTTGAACTAAACTTTTAAGAAAATAGGAAAAAATAGGCCTATGTACATAATCATTTGAGGTTACAGTTTAAGGTACAGGCTTGTTGAAAAAAAGATTTAACAAAGACCTAGTTTGGTGACTGTGCTGTTTTTTTTGTAGGCCTAGTGCCTGTACCGGTATTGTGGGTTTAGGTTAAAAGTGCTTTAAGATGCCCACCTCTAGAGATAAGCTTATCAAATAATATGTTTTATTTCACAAATCTGTTGTTTGCTTCATCAGTTTTTTTAATCAAATACTTTCAAACTTAGGAAGCCATCTTATTTATAAAAAAACTTGGTTTTTCTTTTCTGAGTTTGTTTGGCTCTTCTACCCGACCGATTTTCATGATTGAGGTCCCTAATTGAAGGTATGCACGCACAGATTTGCTATCAAGCATCAGCATATGTATACTTATTTAATACGCAAGCAGGTTTCTTGTGACCCTCTGAAACTACTGAACCGATTGACATGTTTTTGGTGTCATTGGAAAGAACGTAACGTGAAGTTGTGCTGGAAACTTTCTTTTTTGGGAAATAATTAGAGAGTGAGGCCCTGGGGCCCTTTAAAGTTTCGTATTTCTCCATAAGATTAACATGGGAAACAAAAATCGTTATGAAACTCCAGCTGTTGTCAGAAATTAAAAGTTAGAAGACGAACATATGTTAATTGTAAACAGTCAATAAGTTTGCTAATTTAACAGTTTGCTACAAACATATTTACTGACTTGTTTGAAATGAAATATTTACTTTTTGAATTTGGGTTGGCGTAAATATTACAATGGAAAAAAGCGAGAGAGCCTAGATTGATATACTAAAAAGAAAACTGAATTAACACTGGGCTGCATTTCTAGGTAATCATTGAAAGAGTCGTTTTGCAAACTATGGAAACATAGGAAAGTCAAAGAACACCACCAAGGAGAAGAAATAGAAATATTGTTGTTTTTTTTTTTTTAATTTATAATCGTTATTATGGACAACCTAATGCGGCTATGAGTAAAGCTATTTTTGGAGAACACTAAAAAATAACATCAGCTTTTAAAAAATGATAAGATTTACAATCTGTTATGTACATCTTGAGTATTTCCATAATCTATGAGTCCAATATTTTAAAGTGATCAGAAACTATGACTGTTATTCGTTTTAAAATAACGCCTGTAATACATAGAAACTGCTCGAATTCGAGCAACAGGTACACTAGTATTTATCTATAGTCCCACTCAGCTTGCTTCCCATGTATTTCTTATGGGAGTTAAATTTAGTTTTTCTTTTCAGAGTTTGTTTGGTTCTTCTACCCGACCGATTTTCATGATTGAGTTCTCAAATTGAAGGTATGCACACACAGATTTGCCATCAAGCATCGGTATATATTTATCCATAATCCCACTCGGCTTATTCGTAAACAAAATTTGCTCCCCATGTATTTCTTATGGGAGTTAATTTTGGTTTTTCTTTTTCGAGTTCGTTTGACTCTTCTACCCGACCAAGTTTCATGATTCTTACTTCAATTTAAGATGTAATTTACCAGTTATAATTATATAATCCTATATATTTTGGTCTAAGAACCTTCAGTGAAATGCCGGCTTTCATTTAAGCTATTAGTTATTGAAATTGGACAAGTTTCAAGCAAATGCAAGATGAACCACCAACAT